TCCCCCTCCGGTAGACCCCCTCCCCCCTCAGGGTCCTGCTCTTTCAAGTGTGTCTCATGTAGACCCGATCCCCTTGGCTGAGCATGTCGAGGTTACTTCCGACACCTCTAGCCCAGCTGAGGGGGATGACGTTGCTGCTGACGACGCGGAGCCCCCCCGCCGCTCTCCACGCTTGGCGACCCCTCCGGGTTTTCCACCTCGGCCGTCTTTGCCGCCTCTGCAGTCAGTTGCGGTTGACTCTGGTGCTGCTGGGGGTGGTGTTGCTCGGGGTGCTGCTTCTAGGGGTGCTGAGCCTGTGCGTGAGGTGCTGGGGGGTGCGGAGCTTGGGGGTGTTGAGCCTCCAAATTGCGGAGCCTGTGGGTGCATCCGCCCTTGGAGTCGCGCAGCTGGAGCTGGGGGCACTACTACTGGAAGTGCCGGAGCTGGAGGCACTAGGTCTGGAGACCCTGCGCTGGCGGCAATGAATTTGGCTTCGGCTGACAAACGAGCGATCAACTCCTACTTCTGGGAGTTCCATGCAATACCAAGCCGAGAGGGTTCTAGTTGAAACACAAAGATTGTGCGAGAGCGTCTATTGCCAGGATCCCCTGTGTAATCTGCGTCTATATAGCTTCGTAGTTGGAGTGTAGATGTTAAGTTAGCTGTGTAGGTTGTCAACGGGAGTTGTGTGTTGGCCCCGTCCTCGCTTGGGCGGAGCCGAGTTCATGGTCGGATGTGAGGGGAGCAGCCGACCTGCAGCAGTGGACGAGCTGGTTGACGAGGAGGTCGACCTGCACGGGGACCACTGCACAGGGTCGACATTAGTATGAAGCCGACTTCAGGGAGGTCGACCTGGCAAGTCGACCTGCGGAGGACGTCAACTTGGTGACGTCAACTTGGGGAAGCTGACTTCGGTGGTCGGTTCACGGACTGCTGGTCAACCTGGTGGTTGGTCGACCAGGCCTGCTGGTTGACCTGCTGGTGGTCGACCTGACCTGGTGGTCGACGTCGGAGGGGCCGACGTCGACCTCGACTCAGGACGCCGATCAGTTTGGCGTCGAGTAGTGGAGCATCAACTTCATGACGCCGACTTCGAGTAGCCGACTTGGGTGGTCGGCCGACAACTGCGCTGGTCGACATGAAGCTGGTCGACCATGAATGCTGGTCGACGTGGAGCCGTCCGACCGGAAGTGACGTCGACCTGGAGCTGGTCGACCAGGTGCGTGGTCAACCTGGTGAGGTCGACTTGGAGGTGGCCGTCGACTTGGGAGGTCGACGGACATGTACGGGAGCAGCTGGTCGACGTGGTTGCCAAGTCGACCAAGTTACCTGGGTGACGAACTTCTGCGGAGCAGTGCGACGGTCGCCCAGGCGAAGTTGGCGAGCCCGACCTCGGGGGTGGTATCCCGAGGTCGACTTGGTGGATCAGGTGGAGTCGTCAGCACGAGGATGACTTGGTGTGTGCGTTGTGCAGGTGACGAGGCTCAGCCCGCCAATCATCTGCGAGCACCTGCGCAGCGGGTGCGCTGCTGTTCTGCGTGAGCAGCGCTGGCACGCCGTCAACCTGCGAAGTTGGCCCGCCGTCGACTTTGCACTGCTGGAGCGCGGTTGACCAAGTCGTGCTGGAACGCGGTCGACCATGCTGCGCTGGCAGTCGACCGACCTGAATGCTAGCTCTGATGTAGTCTTGAATTGCCAACTTCATTGTACCATTGTTGTCAATTTTCTCTAGTGAAACTCTTTCCAATTCTCACTGTGAACTAGCAAGTTGTGTGCACACTAGGAAAACGACTAAGGACCAACGAACGCAGAGATCACACGAGCATCCGTGCCTAGCCCGTAGTCTAGCTCCCGCTGTATTAGTTATCTCCGCATAGGTGAGTCAGACGTCGTGAGTGGATACGAAGTATTGAAGTGCTCGGTGACTGTTAACCTTTGCGTGGCTTCCTGATTGCCACGTGCTCTATATTATGTAGCGCGATACTTGTACATTTAATGCATCGTTATAAACCAGTTCGCTAAGGGAGAACCTTAGGGAAAATGTAGTAACCTATCTATTATCCCAATATAATCACACTTCATTCACCTAACACACCATATTTTCCTTGGTGTTGCAGGGGTTTGCCCAAGGCTAATTTTTTGTGTTAAGCAACCCTTAGCATCAGTCCTGCACCATTTCAAAACCCTGATTATCAGTGTGACCCATTGAGAAAACTCTTTTTCATTAGGGTTTTCCATAGTTTCAAGAAATTTACCCTTAGAAGGTGTCACCTCGGACGTTCAAAGCGGCTTGTTCGAATAAGCACCGTATTAAACCGAACTGTATGTTTAAACAACCGCAATGTACCTACCTTAACCTTCCGAAATTCAAAATTCAAACAGCTGATTACCACCTGAGGTGACACGCCCTTAGGCCAAAGTGTAACAATTTTCAGAACCCCGATGAAGGCTTCTAAATGAAGTTCTGAACAAGAAGTTTGACTCCAGGATTCGATCACCGGTCTTCTTCATTCCGATAACCATCCTACTAACTGGGCCACTTCAACATAACCTAAGCTTGTTTTAATAACACTAACTCTGGGCGTCAATGTGCCTTAAACATAAACCCTGGCATATCATAGAAAAACCTGAAAATTTTACCCTAAGGCATCAGTGTGGCTACCAAAAACCACCCTGATTATCATGGTATCAGGGTGATTTACACTAATAAAATTTGGCCTGGGTTTGCCTTGTTAGGTATGAGATCTGTCCTGTCACACCAAAATTTCAACATGTCACAGCTTAGATTTGCCATGTCAACGCAGATTTGCACAGCCGGATATCACATTATGATATGTTTCAGTCTCTTTTGAAACACAAAAAATGTTTTTTGATTGATCGAAATCATAAAATCATTTCTGAAGACCCTACACCTAGCCTAGCCTGATCAATCATTTAAGTTATCACCATCCGAACTCTTGGTTTAGTCTAGCAACTAAAAGTACAGCACATATACACTAACGAAATTGTTGTATCGGATTTGTAAGAGGGTGTTGGTCGTTCAGTCTCGCATGCAAAGAGCACGACTAGGCTTGCGTAAAGCGTGTTGCAACATAGCTTCTTCACAAAGATGACCATAGATTTTGGCGGTCGTTGCTCTCGTTCACAGTTTTCGAATTTCCCCATTCCAACGCGTCTCACGAACTTCTAGAGCAACTCCTTATTGTCGATTCCTATTTTCTTTAGTCTGTTTATTTTCTCCAAGATTCCGCGTCTGTTTCGACACGTCTCGCAGACTTTTGAAACGAATCTCCGCCGTCAAATTCTGATCATCAACGTGAATCTCTAATCATGGTACGTCAAAGCTTTGTTGCCAATCAGGTTACCCTTCCTCCTAGTTACCCTCCTCCCTGGTTACTGTCGATTTCGGAGTGATTTTTGCATTCTGAATTACAAAATGTTCTTGTCGGATTGCGCAACTCTCAGGACTAGTCACCGTTTATTCTTCCCGTGTTAAGGATCACGTGTGTGTTGGAGCTCAAAAGGACATGTCACACTTTATTCACGATGTCGTTAAGAAACAACATATTCATCGTTTTGTGATCCGCACTAGTCACAGTTGCATTGCGCGCGAAAGACTGGCTGTTACGGCGTCCAATGTGGCCGTACCCTCAATCCTAATGTGATCTCGCTATTATCTTGGTGATGTATCTATTTCCCTCCGCTTCCCCCCCTTCCCCTCCCACTCTCCTCTACCCCCCCTCCCGTTCCTCTCCCCTCCTCCCGCCTCTCGTTCCCTCCCTCCACGGCAGTACTTCCCGCCGTTTGGGGGCATGGGCCAACCTCTGGGCTCCTTCGAGCAGAGCTTTCACGTGTACCCTGTCTCCTTCATAGATAAGGTGTGGTGCAGTGTGGTGCGATCGGGTTCGGTGTAGTATGAAGTGCCTTAAAGCTCCTTCGAGCAGGGCTTCCACGTGTATCCTGTGTCGTTCATAGGTAAGGTGGGTAATTATGTTTAGTTCTGATCTGACGGATGACCTTTCGAGACATCACTTCGTATGGAAGTTTCACGTGCAGCCAGTATCGTTCACCAGTAAGGTGTGGTGGCGGTCTCTCTCTAATGACATGGGAGTGCAATTCGGTGTGATACAAGCACTGAGTTGAGGCGGAGCTCCTTCGAGCAGATCTTTCACGTATACCCTGTCCCATTCATGGATGTTTGCGGTGCGGAGTGGTGCGTTGGGGTGCTGTGCGGTGTTTTCTTTCTCTATTCATCTCTCCTTTCCGCGTGTTTCCTCCCCCCCTCCGTCCGCACCCCACTCCCTCTCTCATCACAATCATGTTGGCACTGTTGGCAGTCTCATTTGGAGAATGGCGATAAAGGTGTGTGGGGAGGAAGGGGTGTGTGTGGGGGGGGAAGGGGTGTGTGTGGGGTAAGGGGTGTGTGGGGAAGGAAGGGGTGTGTGGGGGAAAGGGGTGTGTGTGGGAGGAAGGGGTGTGTGTGCGAGGAAGGGGTGTTTGTGCGGGGAGGGGTGTGAGTGCGGGGAGGGGTGTGCGGGGAGGGGTGTGTGTGCGAGGAGGGGTGTGTGTGCGAGGAGGGGTGTGTGTGCGGGAGAAAGGGGTGTTTGTATGTGTGTTTGGCGGTTGCCTCTGTCTCACATGACTCACATCCCTGATTGGCCAAGGAGGGTGGTTGTCGGTTGCCCCTTCTTTTGCACTCAACCCCCCCACTTCAACAACGTTGCCTCTTCTCTTTTTGCATTCTCTCATTGCCATAGCTATCTGTCTGTGGTGTTGCTGCTATGAGTCATTTTTCATAAACCCTGCACTCACTGCATGATATGATTCTCAAGGCTCCTTGAAAATAGTTTCGTTGTTGCTACAAGTGACTGATCATAACGCCATAGTTACTGCATAAGTTATCAAGCCACTTCACACTTGTTATCGTGCGCAACATCCCCCTCCCGCTCCCTTCCCTCCCCCCTCCCTCTCCCCTCCTTTCTGTGAGCCATCTTCCATAACCCGTAGTAGTTGCATAAAGAATGAAGCGACTTCACAGTTCTGCTACCTTCATCTTCTTCCCACTCGTACCCTGCCCATCAACCCCCTCCCTCCCCTTTTCCTCTCCACTCCGGTCTCCCCCTCGCCCCTCGTGTGTCTTGCGCTCGCGCCCCCTGGCTGCCCATGTCAGACGGGGCCATCCATCACTCTGCAACTGCGCTCCTCCCATCAGTCATCATGCCACCCTCTGCCCTCGACAGACCTGGTAAGTCCACCATACCCGTTTTAAGCCTGCTTTGTTTCTCAGCAGGCGAGGTAATGTCGCCATATCCGTTAAAGCATGCTCGTTAATTCTACACACGCTCGTTTGCCAACTTGTTGTATCCAGTTTTCACCACCCTGCCCTCTCCCCTTCCTCTTCCTGTCTCTGTGACACAGCCTTGCACCACAGACTAACCCATGCTGTTCAAGGTTCCCATTAGAGAATTAATTAACCCTCTGTACCATTCTTCATCCCTTTCCCCCCCATTCCACCACCCCTCCTCCACATAAACTACCCCATGCTGTTTGAGGTGCACATGAGAAAATAAATAAACCCATCTGTACAGCTCTACTCCCCTTTCCCCTCGCACCCTACCAGCCTCACTGAACAGTGAGCTGTTGGAGGTGCTCAGCGCAGCAGCAATACTTACACCACCCCATGCTGTTTCAGGTGCACAATGCAGTGGCCAATCGCACGCACGCTACACGCTCATCATAACCCATCTGTACCGCTCTCCACTCCTCCCCCACCCCCCCAATCCAAACAGCCTCTCTCCACATAGACTACCCCATGCTTTATGAGGTGCACCATGCATGCTCATCCCAACTCACAACCCATCTTTTCCACTCTCCACTCCACTCCTCCACACCACCCCCCACTGCACCCCACCAGCGTCGCTGCACATAGACTACCCGATGCTGAGGTGCACAATGCGGCGGCCAATCGCACGTCGCACTGCGGTGTGCTGGAGTTCATTGCAGAAGAGGGCTACGTGTACATGCCATACTGGGTGAGGCTTCCTATATCGGGCAAGGAGAATGGTGGCATTTTGGAGTTCATTGCAGATGACCATATGGGCGCCGTGCCTCACTGGATTGGATTAGGCTTGCCATATTGGGTATGGCTTGCCAAAACGGCTTTGCCTAACTAATCAAGGCTAGTCATATTGGGGTAGGGCTTTCCACATTGGGTAAAGTTTCTGTGTTTGGTACACAGAACCTGCTGTTACCTTACAACTCACATCCCTTCATCTCCTGCATCTTTCTTGGATGATGCAGATTCTGCTGCTACAGAAGGGGGACATAGTGCCCGTGCGAGTCAATCTACAAGCCACCTGCTAATGCCCTCTCTCCTGTTCTCCTCCGTTGCTACTCTGTATCCTTCCTTTCAGATGATGCAGAACCTGCTGCTACAGGAGGGCGACGACATAGTGCGGTTCAGAAACGCCACTCTCCCCAAGGGCACGTACGTGAAGCTGCAGCCGCACACCAAGGACTTCCTTGACATCTCCAACCCCAAAGCCGTGTGAGTGCGTCTCATTGTACGAAATGTGCTTGTTTTGGGGGGGGTGGGGAGGGGGGGGGGGGGGGGGGGGGGGGGGAGGGGGAGAAGAGGGGGGGTGGTTGGGGGTAGTAGCTAGTGCCCACACCCACTGTCCCCAAGGGTTCCTACGTGAAGCTGCAGCCATTCAGACTTTCTAGACATATCCAATCCCAAAGCTGTGTGAGTAGCATTCTTATAGGGGTGGTGACTGTAATGGTAAGTTAAGTGCTTATCTAGAAGGGGGGAGGGGTTGGGGGGGAGAGTAACGCCATTCCTCAAGGGCACGTATGTGAAGGTGCACGCAGCCACACACCAAGGACTTGCTCGATCTCTCCAACCCCAAGGCTGTGTGAGTCGTAGATGGGAGGTGGGAAAGCTGTGTGAGTGAGTGAGTGCGACTGTGATTGTGTGAGGGACGTGCTTATTGGAAGGGGGGAGCAGTGTTGCCACTCTCCCCAATTGCGCCTACGTGATGCTGCAGCCAAAACCCCAACCCTGAACCGTAACCTCAAACCCGAACCCTAGCCCCTGACTTTCTGGGCATCTCCAACCCCAATGCCGTGAGAGTGGACCTGAGGGGTGTGACCGATCGTAAGAGATGTGATAATCGTGGGGTACGACTGTGTAACAGTAACCAATCAAATTTATGTTGTGGGGAGAGTGATTCTAAGGATAGCTTATTGTGATTGTGGATGTGATTGGCTCCGTCATACCTCTTACGGCGCCTCAGAAGTGTTAAAAAATAAAGACGGAGTCTATGAAGATTAGGTGCCCAAATTTTTTAAAATCGTTGGTCTCAATTTCTGGACAGAAACGTCGACTTCACAAGAAACGTTGTCGACAAAACGTGCACCGTTAGAATCGTCTCAAACTCGAGTATGTTATAGCCCTTGTTTGTGGCTATCATTCCCAATTTGAATCGTATCGAAAAGTGGAGTAAATCTCGAGTTATGCTTCTCGGCGCACCAGGGGGTATGCTGCCACATAGAAATTAAATTCACTCACAATAGTTTCACAAGTTCACAAGAGTTGCACACAAGAGAGTTAGAGTAGCACTAAACCAGGTAGGAGGAAAGAGGAGGACGAGAGGGAAGGTCCCAAGGAGTCCCCAACCAAAGAAAACTCCATGCCACACAATTCCCTTCCCCAGAGGCAACCCCACTTTCACTTTTGTCACTTTCCCAACCCATGCCATCCACCTTAACCCAACTTGGCCACACTTGCCAACCTGGTTTGGTTTCACCCAATCACTTGGCAGCAACTACAGTAGAAAAGACGAATTTCCAAACCCCCAAAAGTCTGTACCCCATATTGAGTCAACCCCACAACTCCCCATAGTCACCACAACCAAATATCGAAAGCATACGAACTCCAACGTTCGTAACTTTCTGCAGCTGTGTCTCTTCTGCAGCTCCGACTTCACGTAGGCGAGTCCAGCAGTGTCAGCTGTGGCAAAGACCAAGTCGTCGACGTACACGAGGATGTAGAACGGCGGCAGAGAGGTGTCGGTGCGCAGAAACAGCGACGGGTCGGCAGTAGAAGGAGCAAACCCAAGTGCCGCCAGCGTAGTCCTCAGTGTGTCGTGCCACTCATGTGGCGCCTGGCGGAGACCGTAGACTGGACGCCGGAGACTCCACTGGGTACCATGAGGGAAAGACCCAGTGAAGCCAGGTGAGCGACGCAACCAGATCTCCTCGTGCAGGCTGCCCTGCAAGAAAGCAGTGCTGAAGTCGAGGGAGTGCAGCTCGTAGTCACGGTGAGCAGCAACGTGCAGCAGTACCCGAAGAGTGGTCATCTTCGGGGTGGGAGAGAAGGTCTGAAAGTAGTCAACTCTGTGTCGCTGACTGAAGCCACGAGCCACGTAACGCGCCTTGAAGACAGGCGGAGAACCCGGCGGCCGCTTCACCCTGAAAATCCACATGCCACTGACTATGTTCACCCCAGGAGGGGGAACAGCGTCAACGTAGGTGCCTGTGGACTTCTAGGAAGCCATCTCTGCATCCATAGCTGCCTGCCACTGAGAGGAGTAGGGACCCTCTATCGCCTCCGCGTAAGAGCGCGGAGTCGGGATGTCTAGTGCATCCGGGTCTCCCTCAGGGGCGAGCAGTACAGACGCGAGATGAGGTGAAGCGGCGGCCAGACACTGGAACTCCTCCTGCCTGTCCTCAAGGACGTCCGTGCCAAGGGCACACTCACCCCCGACGAGCGGAGGACAGGCAGACTCAGACTCAGCGACAAGACTAGCAGCGTAGTCTAGACGACAGCGCGCAGCAAAGTCGACGAGCTCAGTGATTAGGCCAGACGCAGCAGACGACTCGAAAGAAGGGTCAGTGACAGCAGTAGCAAGGAGACGCGTGACAGTGGGATTGGCAGCACGAAGAGAGTCCGACTCCGGGTCGGCAAGAGCAGGAAGAGAGGAAGAAGGAGGAGAAGGCAAAGGGGCACGCAGAGGAGCAGTGGACGGACGTAGAGACATCCGGTGCGTGCCAGGGACAGGAGGAGGACGCTGACGCGAACCGCGACCACTAGTGCGTGCAAGACGGACAGGCGACGCAGGACGAGACGCAGGCTCACGACGCTCAGTAAGACCTCCAGTCGGACCAGCGTAGGGAGAAGGAGCAGGCAAAGGAGAGGCAGGCTGTAGCTGTGACTGGGACTGGACAGGCTGTGGACCCTCTAAGGGAGGAGGAGGAGGACCAGGAGAAGGTGTAAGACCAAGAACGTGCTGCAGGAGCGGAACGAAGTAAGGTCGGGGCCGCGTGGCGACGCCAGAAACAGCTGGGACAGCAGAAGTACCCCCAGAAGGAGCACCCGCTCCAGCAGCACCTCCAGCAGCACCTCCAGTAGCTCCAGAACCCCCAGCAGCACCATGAGCACTGCCAGTAGGACCGCCAGCAGTAGTCTTAGCGCCAACACCCTCAGCAGCTCTAGCTCTAGGAGAACCCTCAGGCCCAGCAGCTCCAGCACCCACAGCACGAGCACCTCAGGGACGCGTGACAGCAGCACCCTCTGCAGCCGAAGAACCTCCAGCACCAGCACCACTTCTCCAGCGCCGGGCAAACCACTCACGCAGCTCCTGTGGGGAGAGTGGCTCTCGGCGAGACGAAGCACCTCCAGGCGGAGAGCCTCCAGGCGAAGAACCTCCAGGCTCAGCACCCTCAGGCAAAGCACCTCTAGGCGGAGCACCCCCAGTCTTAGCACCCCCAGGCTCAGCACCCCCAGGCCCAGCACCCCCAGGCTCAGCACCCCCAGACTCAGTACCCCCGGGCTCAGCACCCCCAGGCTCAGCACCCCCAGGCTCAGCACCTCTAGACTCTGCACCCCCATGCTCAGCACCCCCAGGCGTAGCACCTCCAGTCCCAGCACCCCCAGGCTCAGCTCCCGCATCAGCACCAGAGTCACCAGTGACCTCGACAGGCTCGACCGCGTCTACCTGGTACACACCTGAAGGGGCAGGACCCTGAGGGGGGAGGGGGTCTACCAGGGGGGGACCTGGTACCAAGAAGAGCGGGGGCGGGGGGAGGGACGGAGTGCGGTAGGGGAAGAGGCGGTAGTAGGGTACCGACTCGTCGAACGTGACGTCCTGGGAGGACAGAACACGTCGAGAGGTGGGGTGGTAGAACTGCCACCCAGGGGCGTTGGGGGGGAACCCGAGGAAGACGCAGGGAGCAGCGCGAGGGGACAGCTTGTCCGCAGACAAGTCGCGGACAAACGCCCGAGATCCCCAGACCCGGAACGCAGACGCATCGCCAACCTTCCCCGTCCACAGCAGGGCTAGGGAGGTCTCCGGCCTGGAGACCCTGGGGTGGAGGTTGATCTGATGCGCCGCGTACCTGACCGCAAATGGCCACAGAAAATGGGGGGCAGCTGCATGCATCATAGACGTACGAGCGACGTCTATGACCATGCCAATGCGGCGCTCTGCAATCCCATTTTGCTGCGGCAAGTTTGGAAGCGTGAAGGTATGGCGGACGCCTCGCGCATGACAGAAGGCACGGAGAAGGCCAGAGGAGAACTCTCCGCCTCTGTCCGAGTGCAGACGCAACACAGGAAAGTCCGAGCCAAAGCTCTGCCTGAGCTGGAGACGAGCTGCGCGGATCCAGTCGATCAGCACCTCAGTGACATCACCCTTGCTGCGCAAGGGGAAGACTGTGGTGTAACGCGAGTAGTCGTCAACCACCAACAGGAAGTAGCGCTCGTGACCGAGTCCACGGACGCGGGCAGGGCCCCACACGTCCATGTGAAGCGTCTGCAACGGAGCCTCTGTCGGAGGAAACTGGGAGGAGTGAGGGGCAGCGCGCTGGCGCCCCTCGACACAGGGGACACAGGCAGGGCCAGGGCCCTGAGGAAGGGGAGGGAGGGACCGGGGGAGACCAGACACAAGAAGACGGGAGGCCATGCCTCTGAGCCGAAGCAGAGAGGGGTGGCCAAGGCGTTGGTGCCAGAGGAGAGTCTCGTGAGACAGACGGCGACACGAACAGGGGGCAGACTCAGGACCAGACCTGGATGCTGCAGCAAACACCTGACCAGACAAAGGGACTCTACCAGACTCAGCACCGGGAGGAGAAGCAGTGGTCAGTGTGTACAGGCTCGACCCTCGCTGACGTGTAAACGTAGCCAGGTGGCGACCTGTGCTAGCCTCTGTGCAGTGTGTCACCCGCTGACGAGCAGGAGTGAACTGGTGGACACCCACATCCTGTAGGTCAGCACCACTCACCAGGTTCGTAGAGAACGAGGGGAGGTAGAGACCAGTCAGGGCCCCAGAGGGAGCCGCCGGACACGGGAGGACTGTGGAGAAACGAGACAGGACAGGACCCCCAGAGGGGTCAGCCAGGGACACCGCAACCGGCCGACTAAGCGGCGTGAGAGTGGTGCGGTCCCAAAAGAAGGAGCGAGACGCCCCAGAGTCAAGGGTGAAGGTGTGAGAGGCCGAAGCCGACACAGTACATGAGAGTGCAGACTCACTAGTACCTGAGAGCACAGACG